AAATCAAGAAGCTAATCAAATTTTTTATAGGATAAAGAAATCCATGTGAAGACATATCACAGTGAAATTTCTTAAAACTAAAGACAAAAAAATCTTTAAAAAGCAAAAGAGAATTAATTATATTTTATGTATACAGAAAAATAATGCAAATGACTGTGGAAAACATCGGGGGCAGAAGAAAATGCCACATTATTCAAGTGCTGATAGAAAAGAAAAAAAGCAACCCTGTCAACTCAGAATCCTATATTCAGCAATGGTAATATCCTTTAGAAATGATGTAAAAATGAGAACATTTTCATATGAAGCAAAACTACTGCAGGCTTACCCTAAAGAACAGTTAAACAGAGCTGTAAAAACAAAACAACAAAACAAAAGATAAAAGAGGAAATCTTGGAACATCAGGAAGGAAGAACAATAGAAAAAAATAGAAATACAGATAAATATAATAGATTTTTTTCTCTTCACTTTTCTAAATTACTCTAACTTATTTTAAATTTGATGATTTAAGCAAAAATTATAATATTTTATGATGTGGTTCTTAATGAGAGACTCTGTTTAGGTTTTTTTGGGTTTAGTCTATTTCTGTTGTTCAGATTGTAAAATTTCTCTTGTTCTGTTCTCAATGAGAAACTCTTTAAGACAATTATAAATGGGGGAGGGTAAGGGAACTTAAAGGGAGATCAAATTTCTACATTTAATTTAAACTGATAAAATATGACACCAACAGACTTTGATAAGTTATGTGTGTATAACAGAATATTTAGAGCAACCAATAAAACAAATCTATTCAAAGAAATATACTCAAAAACACTACAGTGGTTTCTTGGTATCCTCAGGAGATTAGTCCCAGACCTTCTCCCATACCAAAATCCCATGGATTTGCTCACGTGATGTGTATGTATATATAATCTTTGCACATCCTCTGGTATAATTTAAATCATCTCTATATTACTTATAATACTGGTAATACCTACTATAATGTCAATGCTATGTAAATATTTGCTATACTATATTTTTTATTTATAATAGTTTTATTGTTGCATTATTTATTGCCCCCAAATATTTTCAATCCACAGTTGGTTGACTCCAGGGATATGGAGGGCCAACTATATGGGAAATCATATACAATTTACATTAAAAGTAAGTGTCTGGGCCGGGTACGGTGCCTCATGCCTGTAATCCCAGCACTTTGGAAGGCTGAAGTAGGCAGACTGGTTGAGCCTAGCAGCTCAAGACCAGCTTGAGCAAAATGGTGAAACCCCATCTCTACAAAAAACACAAAAATTAGCTGGGCATGGCAGCACACGCCTGTAGTTCCAGCTACTCAGGAAACTGAGGCAGGAGGATCACCTGAGCCCAGGAGGTCAAGGCTGCAGCAGTGAGCCGTGATCATGCCACTGCACTCCAGCATGGGCAACAGAGTGAGAGCCTGTCAAACCAAAAAAAAAAAAAAAATCAAAAACAAAAAAGTAAATTTCTGAACATGACATACCAATTAAAAGAAACTGGCTGACTTAAATAAATGCTGTGTCTAAGAAACTGAATTCAAAATCACAACATATATATGGTGAAAGTAAAAGGATGGAAGAACACATACCTTGAAAACCTTAATAAAATGAAAGTAAGAATGGCTATATTAATATCGGGCAAAGGAGACTTTAGATAAAAAAAGATTACGAGGTAGGTGGATCACCTGAGGTTAGCAGTTAGAGACGAGCCTGGCCAACACGGTGAAACCCCATTTCTACTAAAAAATATATATACATACATATAAACTAGCCAGACATGGTAGTGGGCGCCTGTAATCCCAGCTATTCGGGAGGCTGAGGCAGGAGAATTGCTTGAACCCAGGAGACGGAGGTTGCAGTGAGCCAACACAGTGCCATTGCACTCCAGCCTCGGTGACAGAGTGAGACTCCGTCACAAAAAAAAAAAAAAAAAAAAAATAGGGACCGAGAAAGACATTACATAGTGACAAGATGGTCGACCTGCCAAGAAGACATAGCAAATTTAAATGCATAAGCAGCAAAGAACAGAGGTATAAATATATAAAACAAATACTAATAGAACTAATAGGAAAAATAGATAATAGATATATCATAATTGTACCTGGAGATTTCAAAACCCCTCTGTCAATAAGTGATAGGAGTAGGTAGAAAATCAGCAAGAATATAGAAGAATTCAACAATACTGTCAAATAATAGGATCTAATTTACAGAACACTCCACCCAACAGCAGAATATATATTCTTTTCAAACATCGTGGAACATATATCAAGACAGAACATGCCCTAGGGTCCTTAAACTTCAATGAGTCTGAAAGAATGAAAATTATACAGTGTGTTATGTGAGCACAGTGGTATCAAACTAAAAATCAGTAACAGAAATAAAACAGGAAAATCTTTAAGAACTTGGAAACTAAATATAGCACTTCTAAATAACCCATGGGTCAAATAGGAAGTTTCAAAAGATACCCCCAAAAAACACTGAATTGGATAAACATGAAAGTGCAACATATCAAAATTTGTGGGACACAGCTGAATCAGTGCCAAGAAGGGAATTTAGAGCACTAAATGCTTCCAGTAGAAAAGTGAAAAAGTCTCAAACCAATATGCTTTCATCTTAACAAATTAGGAAAAAAGAGCAAAGTAAATTTAAAGCAACCAGAAGGAAGAAAATAATAAAGAGCAGAAACCAATGAAATTGAAAACAGAAAAATAACAAAAACTAAATGAAACAAAAAGCCAGTTATTTGAAAGATAATTAAAATGAACAAACCTGTGGCAAGGTAGATTATCCAATAGATAATTTGAATAGCCTTGTAAGTATAAAGGAAATTAAACTTGGCATTTACAGTCTCAAAAAATAAATCTCCAGGTCCAGATGGTTTCACTGGAGAATTCTACTAAACATTTAAGGAAGAATTAACACCAATTCTACACAATCTTTTCCAGAAAGCAGAAGCAGAGTAAACATGTCCCAACTCATTTTATGAGGCCTGCATTACCTTGATACCGAAAAAAGACAAGGACAAAGGGGGGGGGGGGGGGAAAAGGAAACCAACAGAACAATATCCCTCATCAAAACTAATGCAAATAGGCCAGACACAATGGCTCACGCTTGTAATCCCAGCTACTCAGGAGGCTGAGGCATGAGAATCCCTTGAACCCAGCAGGTAGAGGTTACAGTGGGCTAAGATCACGCCACTGCACTCCAGCCTGGGTGACAGAGCAAGACTCTGTCTCAAAAAAAAAAACCAAAACAAAACTGATGCAAATATTCTCAACAAATATTAGTAAATGGAATTCAGTAACATTTTTTAAATCATACATTATGACCAAGTGGGGTTTAATTTCAGGGATGCAAGGCTGGTTTAATATTTAAAAATCTATGTAATTCACCATATTAACAGAGCAAATAAGAAAAGCACATGATCATAAAAGATACTTGACAAAATTCATAAAAGGTATTTGACAAAATTCAGCATCTATCAATGATAAAACTTTATATAATCCATAACAGAAAAAGTAGATAAATTGGACTTTATTAAAATTAAAAATTTTTGCTCTATGAAAGATCCTATTAAGCAATTGAAAAGGCAGAGTCAGGAGCAGTGGCTCAAACCTGTAATTCCAGCTCTTTAGAAGGCTGAGGCAGGAGAATTGTTTAAGTTCAAGACCAGTCTGGGCAACAGTGAGAACCTGTCTCTACCAAAAGAAAAAACAATTAAAGATAAACAAGAAAAGACAAGCTACAGACTGGGAGAAAATATTTGCTACTCACATATCTGACAAAGGACTTATATCTAGATATATGAAGAACTCTCCAAACAGCAAAACACCCAAATGATCCAATTAGAATATGGGCAAAACTGAAGAGAGAATTTACTGAAGAAGATAGGAGGGCAAACAAGCACACACACAAAAAGATGTTCAACATCATTAGCCATTAGTGAAATGCAAATTAAGACTGCAATGAAATGTCACTATACACATATTAGAAGAGGTAAAATAAAAATTAATGACAATACCAAATGTCAATAAGGATGTGGAGAAAAGAAACACTATATAATAACAAAATAGCAATTTAGCTTTTCAAGCACTGTTCTTAGGAAGAATTGTTAAGGGAAGAACAGCCCACATGTGGATAGGTTTATGAGAGTTTGTCATTCAACAGGTCATGCTTCATGGCCAGAAAGGGTTAAATTTAGAAGACTCCCATCACTTGTTATATTTTATATTATGGCAGGTAGACATAAATTTGGAATGATGACAGCTAATCTCACTGCTTTACAATCTAATTCCACACCCCGAAATCTCAAGCTTTTACTTAATGCCTAATATTGTCCACAATGATATCAAACAGCAAAGGATTCTGCATAATGGTAAGATCATTTTAAAATGTCTTTGGAACCCAGCAAAAATTACACCAGACTGCTCAGAAATAGATATTCTAAGCTATCAGTTTGGAAGACAAGGTAATCTTTGAAGTCTTTCAAAGAATAAAGGGGAATTTACTTAGTAGACATAACTGATATGCATCTTGAGCAAGCCAAGATCCAGAAGAACCTCTGGTTTTACACATCTGCTATAGTAATACAGCAATTTTACACTGTGTTCTCCAAACTACAGACATTGCTAAAAGAAGAGGCAGGACTTGGCCGGGCACGGTAGCTCACGCCTGTAATCCCAGCACTTTGGAAGTTCTAGGCAGGTAGGGTAGATCACAAGGTCAGGAGTTCAAGAACAGCCTGGCCAAGACGGTGAAACCCCGTCTCTACTAAAAATACAAAACTTAGCCAGATGTGGTGGCGGGCGCCTGTAATCCCAGCTACTCAGGAATTTTAGGCAGAGAACTGCTTGAACTCAGGAGGCGGAGGCTGCAGTGAGCTGAGATTGTGCCACTGCACTCCAGCCTGGGCAATAGGGCAAGACTTCGTCTCAAAATAAATAAATAAATAAATAAATAAATAAATAAATAAAAAGAACAAGCAGTACTCACCAATTGTAATCCAGTCGAGACTGGTGAAGCTGTTGCTGTTTTAGAAGAAGCTTTGTCTCCTGCTGGGCCAGCAGATGCTGAAGGCGTTCCTTTTCAATTTCCAGCTCCATTTTCTGAAGCATCAGTTGCTGCTTTCTATCTTCTGAGATCTGCTTTTTCAAAGTTTCATTTGGTTGCAGCGCCCCTCCACCATGCAACAGAGACGCCCAAGAAAGCCCACAATAACTGCATGATTCTGGATGTGTCTTAGGATGTTGAGGGGCCGTGTTTGTAGAATGGCTCTCATGAACATGACCTGCAGCAAGTCTATGACCACAGCATTGAGTAGGAGTAGGCTTAAGGTGTGGACATTCCTTCATGTGCAATTCTTCTTGTGGCATTTTCTCTGTTGGGACTGCATCTACTGGTTTTCTCCCTGGAGATTCATAATGACATGTTGTGGTCTCTGATGGTATCTTACCTAGATCATCTTTGGGATGATGAAGGGTTACTGGTTTCAAAGAATTATTCCTAAATGCTATAAGGGATTCTGAAGCTGAATCCTGGATTGCAGACTTAGGTCTTTGCTTGGTTTGATAGTAGGTCTGCGGTCTGGCTACACTCAAGTAGGAACCATCCAGTTCCACAGATGAACACTGGAGAGTGCTTTTTCTACTGGATACCTAGAAAGAACCACAAGATCACCTGTCAAATAAGAACACAATAAAACAAGTTCTTTCATTCAGTTTTTCAGAAATCAGTGATATATGTTTACCAAGCCAAAGCTGTTGTTTTGTCTTAAATATTAAATTGTAGCGTTCACACAGTTAAACAGACTTGTGCCCCAAAGCTACATTCATTATCAAACAATCTACACTTCAGTAAATCCATATAAAGATAAGAAAAATAAGTTGCTGCTACATGTTGCTTAAGCAAGATCTTTGGTGATTTCAGGAGTTGCAAATAATGAGAGTTACATAAAATCAATTTTGAGAAGAGGTAAAAGCCTTAAACATTAACATCTTAAAATGTTTACTTTTGAATACTGAGCCAAGAAATCCATTCAGTCACCTTAAATATTCTTTGGCCATTACACAGCATGAGACTTGATGTAAAACATTTCACCTTATACTGAATAGAATGTGACTTACTGGTAGAACTTTGATGAGGTTTTATAAATATCTTTACAGAACACAGATAAAACCAACCACTTTCAACAAAATAGGATTCTAATCAAAAGCAGTTAAATACAAAAAATATTTAATTTCATCTACAAACATAAGTGATTTTTCAATTAATCTATTCAAGTGATTAGTCTGATAGAATTTGGGCAGAAAGGAAGCAGTTGCAAATTATCTCTGACATGTCAATAGAGTCAGATTTTCCAACATTTTAGCTGTAAGTCTATTCTATTGGTGAGAACAAAACTTAATCTATATCAGTGATTCTCAAACTTTAATGTGTAGCAGAATAACCTGGAGAGTGTTTGTTAAACATGAAACTATAGCTTAATCCCCAGAGTTTCCAAGTCTTTCTGTCTGGAGCAGACTCAGAGAATTTGCTCATATTGCTGATCTGGGACCACACTTTGAAAACTGTTGGTCTGTATCATGGAACATCTCCATCTCCCTTACTGTTGAGCTTAGCCTGGGAAGGTTGAGTTGTTATACTTAGCTCATCTCTGAACATTGTTACTTAGTATGACTAAGCAGCTTTTCTTCACAGTGTATTTCAGAAACATGGTATATCTAGATCCAGGTTCTCCAAACAGAAATATTATAGTTTAATGTAAATGTTGTGTGTGTTACAGATGAGCAACTTGCCCATGAAGGTGGACACTTGTAATTAACAAAATAATAATGAAAGATAATGATCAGACTCTTTCAAGGGCAGCCCTTTATAACATAAAAACTTCCCCTCAATTTAGATCTAGAGCACAGCAAAAAAGAGCCTCCAAGTCCAATTACTTAACTAGCAAGATGGGTTGTTTGAAAACGTGTTATTCCTACCAGCTGTTATTTCTTTTGAGCAGTCAGAGTATAACCTTTAAGACAAATCTGAAAGGAACAAATCCACTTGTGGAGGGAGAGGCCTTGTTTTCCAAGGCCTATTTACTCTAGATACATAGATTCAGTCTTTAGTGAAAGCCAAAGAGAAGATAAGAGAAAGAAACTAAGCAGACCTAAACAACTGAAATATCTGACAGCTTCCACTAACACTTCATCTTCCCTTAGGCTTTCATTCAAAGTCCATTTACGTTAACACTTTACTTTCCTGCCATTTTCTATTTCTATTCAAACAAATCCAAAAAATCTTCTGTGTACCGAACACTTATATTAACCAAAGAAGAAAAAATTCTTAATCTTCTATCCATATCCTTTGAAACAGTCTCACTTTTCATGCACAATTATTTGAATGCTAAGGGAATCTCATTTGCTCAATGCTACAACAGAAATACGACTTCTTCAGTAAACAAATATATTACAACTTCTGTATTAGTTTCCTACTGTGGCTATAACAACTTAGCACAAACTTTGTGGCTTACAATAACACAAATGTATTATCTTACAATTCTGGAGGTCAGAAATTAGAAATCTGTTTCACTGGGCTGAAGTCAAGATGTTGGGAAGGCTAATTCCTTTGGCTCAGAAGACAGAATCAACCTCCTTGCCTTTTATAGCTTCTAGTGGCCACCTGTATTTCTCACTTTTTATAGCTCCATCTTCACGGTGTATCACTCCAACTCCTGCTTCCATCATCATCACACATTGCCTTCTCCTCTGACTCCTTCTGCTCCTTCTTAGAAGGACCACTTAGATTTGATTGGGCCTACCTGGGTAATACAGTTAATCTCCCCCTCTCAAGAGCCTTAATCACATCTGCAAAGTCTCTTGCATTACAAAGTACCTTGTAACATAATGTGACATTTGGGAATTAAGACATGCTCATGTTTGGGGGGTGCGTATTTTCAGGCTACCATGCCTATTGTCAAATACAAAGTAATTTAAAACAATTGAAATGGCTAGCTACTCCACAGACACAAAACAAATGAATGAGAATAAATGAGATCCCTAGTATAAGGGGAGAAAAATCCCACCAATTTATTTCGCAATAGTTGCAAATGATGGACTGATGGGTAAAAAGTATCAACTAACAGAGATACACAGCTGCCATCATGTTTCTTATTCTATCATAAAAGAATGAAGGCTATTACAGTGATTAAGATTGTAACTGAATGACTGTAGTAATGCTAACGGATTTCTATTTAAATGAGAATGCGTCACATCTGAGAAGAGTTGCTCTTCTTCAAAGAACACATGCAATCCCGTACAACAAACAGATGACAAGTAATAGAATGTGGACCAGTGCTGGGCAAAATTTCTAATAAGCTACTTCATAAAAAAATTAATTTATTTTACATCTAAAGGGAATCTCTAGTCCACATTAATCTCTCCTACTCTGAACTTCTACAGTACTTACTGCCAGTACATACATTTATCACCTGCTACTTAGTATGGTAAACTATCTTTTACTAGAAGGTCAGAAATTACTAGAGAGATGTATATATTTCAAATGACAGCTAAGTTTTTAAAAGGTCCAGAAATTAAAATATTTTATGTTATATATTCAAATCCATATTTTATAGTCTCATTTTTGTTTCAAAACATTATTTACATATGTCCATTTTTAGGTGCTGACATATTCTACACTTACTTTAATGGTACTAATTGTGAAATTATCTACAAAATCAAATATCTGGAATAATTAAAAATTTTTTTCAGGTAATGTTTCATGTTTTTGAGAGGTCGTACAGCTTAATTATTTTAATGCACGCTTTGCTCAGAGAGCAGTGCTCTGTCAATTACCTGCTGGGTTACTATGCATGTACAATAGGCAGAATTCTAAGATGCTGCCCATGATTCTCACCCCCTAGTGTATGCAATCTTTATTATCTTCTCTCCTTGCGTGTACGGAGGACCTGTGAATATGACAGGATATAAATCCTGTGATTATATTACATTTTATGGCAAAACAGACTTCATATGTAACTAAGGTTCCTAATCAGTTGACTTTGAGTTAATAAAACCGGAGACTCTCCTGGGTGCGCTTGATCTAATCAGGTAAGCCCTTTAAAAGAAGGTCTTATCCTGCTCCCTCATCCCAGGTTGGAGATTCTCCTGCTGGCCATGAAGAAATAAATTGCGATGTTGTGGGAGGGCCAATCAAGTGGCAAAAACACCTGGAGCAGAAGCAGTCTCTGGTCAACAGCTAGGAAGTAAATGGGACATCCATCATACAGATGTAAGAAATTAACTTCTGCCAACGACCATGTGAATTTGGAAGAGGACCTTGAGTGCCAGATAAGAATGTAGCCCAGCTGAACTTTAATTGCAGCATTGTTAAGAACCTAAGCAGAGGACCCAACTAAGTTGTGCCCATCCATACTCATGACCCACAGAAACTGTTATGAGGTAATAAATCTGTGTAGCTTTAAATTACCAGGTTAGTGGTAATCTGTTACACAGCACTATAAAACTAATATAGCACCTTAATCAAATTGCCTAAGCCTCAGGTTCCTCACCAGTAAAATAGGGATTAAGAAAAGCATCTATTTCAAAACTGAATGTGGTGGTGAGAAAGATGGGCAGTTATCAAGGGTACCAATTTATAAAAGTCCAATTTACAAAAAAAGAAAAAAACCCACTCATATTTCTTTCAAGGAGAACATTGTATGTGGTGTGTAGATGAGGTGGGGGAGAAATCCCCAAAGGGCATGTTCAGTTACAACAGGTTATATCTAAACTTCTTCTAAAGTGAATGAGTTCAGTAACTTACCTTTATTATGCTAAAGTTGAGTTTGCAAGTCAGGCCAGAATTGAATTGCTTGAGATAACAGAGAAGTTACTCATTTTTCTCTTTCATACAAAAGATGTCACTCTTACGCTAACATCTTGCACTGCCTCTTAGGGTTCTTGTAATGATTAAATGAAGTAATTCATACAAAGTGTTTGGACCATGTCTAGGTTAGTATTCAAAAGAATGTTTCCCATTATTATTATTAGTAGTATGATTCTTGTCATTGAATTCTGACTCAACAATTTTGAAGGCAAGAGCTGTATTTATCCCTCTGTATGCATTGCACTGGGGCTTGCACACAGACATTCTCAGTAAGCATAGTCTGCTATATAATCTTAACAGAAAAATTCAAGATGGGGTATGGGTCACAGTAACTAAAGGAAGAGGATGAGAATAGAAATTGAAAACCCCCTATAAGAATCTGAATATAAAAAGTTAAGCTATTTTATTAGTAGAGTTGAAGACAGATGTTGCCTTTAGGACACAAGGAAGTAACAATGGTCCTGAATGAAAGAGATGTATTTTTCTTTCTGGAGCTGCTCCAGGATTTCTATACTTGCAAATATAACATCTCTTAACTAAGGCTTAAACCAACGCAAACTCCCAAATGGCTGCCTCTGGCATATGGGTTTAATATGATTGTTTTCCGAGATACAACACTAACTTAGAAACCAAATTTTTTTTAAACATTGAGGCATAATTTACAATAAAATGCAAAGATCTTCAGTGTACAGCTTGACGAATTTTTGTATTTGTATCTATCTGTGTAACCACCACCTAGATCCAGTTATAGAACATTTCCATTACTCCAGAAAGTTCCCTTGTG